TTATTCTAATGCTGGGTAATAATTGGATCACTAACTTCACTGTATTTACTGGATTATCTCCACATTGTAGGAACAGAAAGTCAGTCATTACTTATGTTTTATAAAAACATGTTAGATTCATGATCCTACTCAGTTTTTTTTTATGAAAAGATGAGAAATCAGATTCATTCATTTTGCCTCTGTTTTCCTAGTTGAAATCATACATTTAACTACAAATTTACTTCTTCTTTTTTTTCAAATAAGAAGCTCTAAACATTTCCTTGGTTGTTTAACAAAAGTTTTAATCGTCTGAATGTAATCTAATCAAATGGTTTAAAAAATGGGTATATTTTCATAATTTTCTGGCTCAGACTCTATATGATGTTTGTGCATTTGAATCACACACTGTGATAGAATTTGAGTGGAAACTAACTGAAAGGGTTGAAGGAGAAAACCAGGTTTAATAGAACGGTCTCTTTATAACATAACTAGCACTGCATTAGTGCATTTTTCAGCACCTTTTCCACCTTCCTGCTCTCTTTAACACAAGCCAGTTACTCAACAAATTACGGCTCTGTCGAAGAAGCCACAGATGTTGGATAAACTGACAATAATTGTTATTATTGTAAATTTAACTTTTGCTTTTTGTTTTTTAATTGGTTCTGTCGACAGTAAGAAACATCTAAAAGAATCTGTTTTGACATACGAGTGAAACTTTCTGTTTTTCCTTTATCTGCTTCACAATGTGAATCTCCATCACCAATGAAGAGAAATGCAGTTTGGTGATAAAACATCAGCCTTTCCATTACAAATAAACTCGTGTAAAGAATTTTCTAAAATTAAGAAGTGCAGGAAAAAGGTTTTAGGATGTTATTGTGCTTTTCTAGAACATGTGCACAAAAATAGGTTGAAATATTTATATTTTTCTGGTTTTAAGAAAATTTCACTTCTGCAGCCCATTTCCTGGCAATAAATATTTATGAAAGCTGGGTTAATATATCAGATTTATTTTCATTTTTAAGTCTAATGAAGAAGATATGATGTGCTTAGTTGGAGTGAAGCACTCAGCAAGCACTGAAGGGTGGACTGATGGCTGTTGACCTTTGAGTGTGTGTTGTGTTTGGTCATTTGTGTATAATGCTGACTGGCTGTGTGGGTGTAAATGATTCTCCAGCCCTCAGGGGTGACAGGGTACCGTCACTATGGAAACCCAACGCAATAGCCAGTGATGAGTTGATCCTCAGCCTGCTGATGAGGGAGCTCATCAGCTCAGAGTGTGTTGTATAAAATTTCTGAGTGGCTTCAAGTTCAAATATGTCCGACTTTGATTGTATCACAGCACGCTGACATACTGTCATCTTCAGCCTGGAGCCTTTACAGATTACAGATCATATGAAAATGATGCTGAGAGTGCAGATGGATTACGGTGACAAAATGCGTGTAGCATGAAAGTGTGGTCAAGTAGCACTACCTATGGTAGTGCTTTTCTGTGATGTGTAAGTAACAGAGAGAGTTTAATTCATGTATTAGTATTTGGTTGCTATAAATTATGATCCATAGGGTTTTTAATTTTGGTTTAAATGGCTGTGACAGGCCTTTATCAGAAGAAACGTACATGTAGTGAATGTGTGTGTGAATGGGTGGATGACAGGTTGTGTAAAGCGCTTTGGGGTCCTTAGGGACTAGAAAAGCGCTATACAAATACAGGCCATTTACCATGTAAGTAGGTCAAACATAATGAATATTATATTATTCTATATTCAGTATATAATAATATTTATTATTTACTGGGAACTGCTCAACTTTTAGCTCCTTAAATTATTTTCATACCAAAAAGTGCTCTAAAAAGATCCATAAAGCAGACTTGTCACATCCTAGTTTTCTAAACCTAAGTTTGGACTCAACCTTGCATTTATTTATTTTTAATTCTAGAAAGTACCTTTGTATTTGTATGTTTCTCCTGTTTGTCCAGTATCATGCAATCTTACAGATCCACAGAACATTTATGACATCTGGTAGCTTCTAGGTGGATTACCTCCACTCTCTGATGATGAAGTGAAAACCTGTGGTTCTTCGAAAACCTGCATCAGGTTGGCTTTAAATATGGCACAATCCCTGTAGACACCCAAAGAAAATGACAAACATGGTGCACTAAAAGTACTTTTAGAAGTACATTTTCCCAAACACTTACATTTACTGAAATTTACTTGAGTAGGATTAGGGGTTGGCACTTCTTCATGCAGTCATGTTCTATAGAGTCTTGCTAATGACCTACTAATTGTATTCAGGTGTGTTGCAACACTCTCAGGACACTGGCCCCTGAGGACTGGAGTTCGAGACTCCTGCGTATGCAAGCTGTATGCTAGCTTTTACCTGTGGTAAAAAAATAATTGTACTTTTAATCCAATTGCCTGACAATTATAAGGCTTTTTGTGAGGCACAAACAGCATGTTCACCAGTTTTGATGTGTTAAAGTCTAGCACTAATCTGTCGCCTAACACTTATGGTAAACATTCCAGTACTAGACTAGCATAATTTCCACTTTGTTGAGTACTCAAAGTACTTGCTGCAAAAAACAAAAAACTGCTGAGCAATGGACGATGATTAAAAACTCATATTCTGGTTCCACCAATGAGGAAGTTTTTTCTCCCTGATGAAGCTTTGGACAGTTTCAGGGAATTTGTATTGTATTAAGATTTTAGCTTTATGTTAGTTACATCTCCTTTCATGTTACTGTCTGCATCTGCCTGCTGGCATTTTAGTGTCTGTCATGATTTATTTTGTAAATCATCAAGAAAACTCAAAGTCATGATGCAACATTGGACTGACTGACTGCAGTCATTCAATTGCCTGCAAGGGGAACTTGTCAGATTTCCTTCTGCTGACGCATTAAATGGTTGACGAACATTTGCTAGTGTCTCAATAGTGTTTTAATTTTTCTTTCAGTTCACTAATACACATGTAATTCTGCTTTGGGACCATACATATATTAAATATGAATGAAAAGCAAATGATACAATGTAATGATGTAATGTTTCTGTTTTTCTCTTATATCGTTTGAAGGAGACAAACTAGATTAGGTGTAACCTTTTTCCAATTTCTAATCTGAAAACAGTTTAGTGCATGTTTGTGCGCCAATGGATGCTTTATTGTTTAATTCTCAGGTTGTTTTAAGTGCATTTAGCTGAATGCCTTCAAGTAACAGGCGCCAAATGTTTAATGGACAGTTAGCCTGTAAAATACTGACAAGTGAGGCTTGTTTAGATTTTTTTTTAACCTTCACAACGTGTCTGAGAAGCCCAGTTGACCTGAACAGAAAGAAATTATACAATTTCTTTTAGTTTTGATGCATTCTCAATCATCCAGGAAAGTAAATCTACAAAAGTTGATTCTGTTCATCTGGACGTAGCGTTTTGTGGGAGAAATGTTTCGTCACTCATCCAAGTCACTTCTTCAGTCTCAGCTGACTGCAGGTTTCCCCAATCTTATAAACAGTAGATGTGCATGATGACTGAAACCAGCCCACTGAAGGAACAATGGGCTGGGAGGTCAGTTCCTTCATCATAATTATGCAAATTCTCATTCTCATTCCCACAAAACGCTACGTCCAGATGAACAGAATCAACTTTTGGAGAAATTTCTATTAGAAACGTATACATTTGTACACCTCCTGATTATTGTTTTTTATTAATCCAGACACGATGAAAGGTATGACTAAATGTCCACTTCAGAGTGTGACACAGTGGAACTCAACTTGACAATATCTCTTACGTGATTTCAATGCCAATGTGAAAACTCTGAGAAGAGCTGTTTCAGTGGGAAATCCAGATTAAAATGTCTCGAGGATGCTTGATTATGGTTTGCCATGTTAAACTGAGCTCTCCTTAAAGTCTGGATCAAGTGGGAAATGCATTTTCTTCCTTGGACCTCTCGATTGTTGGCTGGCTTTGCACTTGGCTTACTGTGACTACATTTTCTGACCAATTAGATTACTGACAAAAATGAAGTATTAGAATCAATAAGCAGTATTTTCTGTAATGGCTGCTGGCAAGAGTTCAAACATTTTAGAGCTTCACGGCAGAGCCATAAAGTATAGTTGTAAAAATGTAACAGCAACATCATTATCTTTCCTACAGCCTCCCCACCCACCATCTGCATCCCTTTTTCCTTATATATCATCATCATCTCTTTTAATTTTCCTTCCCCGTCACTATGCTCTCTCCCCCATAACATGATTTTCCTCATTACCTTCTTTTTCTCTGACCTTCTTCATCTTTGTGTATCCTTCACCCTGCTTCTTTCCCCTCCTCTCATTATCTTCTTTCCATCTGTTCTTTTGCACCTCCTGGCTGACCTGTCCCTCTCTCTCTTCTTCCTTCTCTTGCTCCATTTCCAACCCAATCTCTTCTCTAATAAGCGTTTCCTGCATAGAAACCCTCACTTTCTCCCAAAAGAGCTTTTGGGCAAAGCCAAAGGGAAACTGCCAGCGTTGTAATAAGTTTAGGTTTTTAAATGAGTTATTTTAATGAGGGTTTCAGTTACTCAACCATAACAAACATTCCTGTTTACAGAGAATTGAAAAAATCCACAGACTTCTATCAAATAACATAACAAAGACTCATTGCAGACTCATTACTCTTATGCTGGCTAATTGTCCTTACGCAGGTCAGTCACCAGCCAAATCCCAGTGTGAGTCAGGAAAACCCTGCTAATATTCCCTCGGTGGTCTCCTTCTCCCTTTTCCATTCTCTTCTGAGAAAAGTTTAAAATAATTTTAAACTTAAGACCTTCTCTCAATCTGGATTTTGATTGAGTTTCCTTTAAACCAATCATACATACGTTGCTTCCGTGTTTGACCATTTAACCAGGTTCAATCACTGATCTGGGTTTGCACCCCAAACCCAGATAAACTGCCAAAAATGGCTGTCCGGATGAATAGTTACTGGTTTCTCAGTCATGTGTGAAGTCCTTTAAACTACTCGAACCAAAAAATAAACTCTGACTCATTGCTTTGATTGCAGGGTGTTGATGGAGAGGATTTCGGATGTCAGCCGGGACAGTGGTCATCGCAGGAGGAATTTTGGCTACAGTCATCTTACTGACGATCGTCGCTGTGCTGTGTTTATGTAGGTTGCAGGTATGATTGTCTCACTGTTCATTACACATCAAAAGTTTAACAGAATGCAAAATGCACCTCAGCACCGTATTCATGAAAACAAGAAACTTGACAAATGTTCACACATGATGTGTGCAGTGCAAAAAGCTGGGAGTAATTTGCTGCCCCAGACAGTTTTCCTAATTATCAAAGTAGTCCAAGTGGAACATTTCTGTGTTTACTTTTGGCCAGACTGGATTTGTGTAACAATCTTGCTTTTCTTTTTAGAAATCTACAGCTGACATCCAAATAGTGTAACACAACCTGCCGAGACAGAGCATACACACTAATAACAAATAACCCATGTTGAAATAATCCTCAACTGTAAGACCTTTAAAACCGGATGGGACTTTTTCTGAGACTTTCAGAAACTCACATCCACATGTTTTCTTCTTGAGTGAGTCCTAGCAGTTAGCATGTAAGATTGCAACTGTAGTTTTAGGAGTGATGGATGCTTTTTGTAATCATCATCATCATCAACTTTATTTATAAAGCACTTTAAAACAACCACAGCTGACACAAAGTGCTGTACATTGGAACTGTAAAATAAAATTACATGAGATATAAATAAAACACAGATAAAAGAAGAGTGAAATCATTAATTAAATAACTACTTCAATTAAAAGAGAAACTAAGTCTCACTGAGGTTAAAAGCCAAAGAATAAAAGTGGGTTTTAAGACGTGATTTAAAAGTGGACAGTGAAGGGGGCTATCTAACATGCAGTGCAAATTATTCCATAATTTTGGAGCCACAATAGAGAAGGCCCTGTCCCCTATGAGATTCCTCCTGGATCTCGGTACCTCTGGGAGCAGCTGGTCAGCTGACCTGAGAGACCGACAGGGTATGTGGGGATGAAGAAGCTCAGAGGGGTAAGGCGGGGCAAGACTGTGAAGGCATTTAAAAACAAACATAAGAATTTTAAAATTAACTCTAAAAGACACAGGCAGCCAGTGCAGAGAGGCTAGCACGGGGGTTATATGCTCTCTTTTTCGAGTTCCTGTTAGGAGTCGTGCAGCCACATTTTGAACCAGCTGCAGATGTGAGAGCAATGACTGACTGACCCCCACATAAAGTGAGTTACAGTAGTCCAGGCGGGAAGAAATAAAAGCACGGATCACTGTTTCAAGGTGCTGCCTCGAAAGAAAAGATTTTACTCTTGCCAGTCGCCTTAAATGATAAAAACTGGACTTCACCACTGCTGTGATTTGGTTGTCCAATTTAAAATCACTGTCCAACTTAAAACCAAGGTCAGTAACAACAGATTTAAAATAGACTTCCAGGGATCCTAAAACAACAGTGGAGGACTCACAGGGACCACTGGGTCCAAACACCAACACTTCTGTTTTCTTTTCATTAAAATTTAAAAAGTTTAGAGCCAACCAAGTTTTAATGTCATCTAGACATGTCAAGAGAGGTTTTATGGAGATGCCATCCTTGTGTTTTAGTGGCAAATAAATTTGGCAGTCATCAGCATAACAATGAAATGAGATCCCATGCCTTCTAAGGATATAACCCAGAGACAATAGATACAGTGAAAAGAGCAGTGGCCCTAAAATTGAGACCTGTGGGACGCCACATGACAGAGGAGCAGAAGACTGACAGAGAAAGTTCTATCTGACAAATAAGACCTAAACCAATTAAGTGCAGTGCCACCAATACCCACTACATCATGTAATCGAGAAATTAGAATATTGTGGTCTACGGTGTCAGAGGCAGCAGTTCGGTCAAGCAAGACAAGAACAACATGGTTACCAGAATCACATGCCAGAAGGATGTCATTAAAAACTCTTAATAATGCAGATTCTGTGCTGTGAAGGGTTTTAAAACCTGATTGCAAAACCTCAAAGATTCCATTTTCATCTAGAAAATCTTTCAGTTGACTAAAAACAATTTTCTCTAAAACCTTGGAGACTAAAGGCAGCTTGGAAATAGGCCTATAGTTTGCTAAAACTGTGTGATCAAGGCCAGGTTTCTTAAGCAGTGGCTGTACTACTGCATGTTTGAAATTTGCAGGAACCATACCAGAAGACAGACTGCTGTTAATAATGTCAAGGACATACTGTTGTATACTAGGAAAAAAATTCTTTAAAGAATTGTGGAGGGACAGGATCCCATGGGGAACCTGTGGGCTTAATATGGCGAACCACATCCTCTAAAGTGGAGAGCGTCACAAGCTCAAACTGAGTGAAAACAGCAGCGCAAGGGACAGAGACAGAGGGGTCAGAGTCAGGAGCTGTGATAAGAGCCCTGGTGGTGACAACCTTTTCAATAAAAAAGTTCAGAAAATCATTGCAAATCTCAGGAAAAAACTTCCAAACAGACATTCAAAGGAGTATTAAGAACAGTGTCAATGGTCCTAAATAACACACGTGGGTTATGAGAGTTGGAAGAAATAATATTTGCAAAATATTCCCTTTTTGCCTCTTTAACAGTGTTCTGGTAGTGATGCCAGCAGTCTTTTAGAATTTGAAATGATACATGCAGTTTATCCTTTTTCCACCTCCGTTCTGCGCGATCACCTGCCAAATATCATTTGAAAGTGATGGTCTGCAAGTGCCTTTCATGCACACGCTCTCACAGAGACGCCAAGTATATGCTAGCTACTTCCTAGCTTTGAAAGCTCCTCAGCTGGCAGTTTGTTCTTCATCTTTGTGATTCTGTTTACACCTGATTTCTTCCATGTTACCAGTAGGTGGTCATAGATAGACGGTTCATTGCTTTCATGAAAATGTTAAGATTCAGACAAAGACATGCCAACTAGCTCACTACACTCGCTCGCTATCTTTCAAAGTTACACAAACCAGCTTGTTTTTCATGCCCTATATTTACTGTTGCTTATACTTATAGTTAACACGGATCCGATTGGTTGAAACATATGATTTGAAACTCTCCAAAAGTTGATTCTGTTCATCTGGACGTAGCGTTTTCTCCAGATGAACAGAATCAACTTTTGGAGATTTACTTACCTGGATGATTGAGAATGCATCAAGACATTTGTTTTGAAAGTGCTCGTTATTTTCTCCTTTGGTTAACCGTTTGTCTTTTTAAATGTTTGACTCTCACCTGGTCCAGTATTACTGCTGTAAGAGGGAGGAGTCTGAGAAGGGGGAAGAGGAGGAACCTGAGCTCGCCACCATGTCGCCATCTCGCCCCCTGGCTCTGTCGGCTCCTCCTACGCCTCCGACGCCAGAGCAATACAGTGACGAGCCCGAGATGTACCCTCCCACTTTCCTCACTGAAGCCAACGGCCCCGTCAGCTACTCACCTCCGCCTCCGCCGCCACGCAGGTGCTATCGCTCGCATGCCTTCTGCCCTTCCTGTGCCCGCTGCTCACTACCCTTCTACTTGCAGCACCCAGAGAGGCTGTGCAATGGCGGTCGCAGGATCAGCTACAGGACTGTGCAGCAGCAGGACATGGAGTTGCCCATGGACTTGGCCAGCTTCTACCAGAAGCTGAACCTCATCCGCCAAGTCACCATGAAGGAAGTAGTCACCCACAGCGTCAGCACCGACGTTTAGGAAAGCAGCACCGCTGATTTAAACGATTCGATACACATTCAATTATTTCAGCACTTTGCTGTCAGTGTTAAACTGATAAATGGCTTTTAGACCAAACGTCAGGGCAGCGATGATGGAAATTCTGCAATGCTAAATGCATCATCGAAACACACGAAGGGACTAATTTCATAAACTGCTCCTTTTATTTGCTGAATAGCTAGGTAAGTAGCTACTTAACATATCTGCTGTCAAAGGATAAACAAGAATCGACAAAAATCAACACAGATTTCATTTGTTTAAATGCACCACACCAGTGCGAACAGAGGAGGTAAGATAAGTCTGGTTGTGTGGATATTAAAGCTAATGTCAGACCAAAACCAGCAAGTATTATGTGAGTGTATCAAAGCCTGCTCTCTCTGTCCCACAGAGCTCCACTGTTGTTCCTAAAATAGTTAGATATCTCACTGTTGACCTCGGTGACTTGTTCTTTCATTAGCATGAATGCAAACATTGTAGCATACATAGGCCTAGCCCCGCACACACTGTCCCGCTGTCACAAAAAACCACTGAAGCACCAAATGTAGATTAATCTGTCACTGAAAATAGTCCCCAGCTATTGGTCTGTTAAATCCAATGACTGAGGAAATAATCTTTTCAACAGAGAGTATTTATTTGTATGTAAGCTGTTTTTCAACTCTTACACACTTAGTTTAACTTCAGGTAAAAGCTCATAACTGCACAGACACGGTCTCTTCCTTTGAAAGAGTGATCGGGTGTTGAGACCAAGCGCACGGAAAAGTTTTCACGCAGCGATTAAATAGATTCATGCCATAAGAGGCCATGTGTTCAAAAAAAATGTAATTTTTAACAAAAACATATGCGTCACACAGAGTTGAGATTGAGCACTGAAAATCAGAAACAAAAGACATGCTTTTACAAGCTGTAATCAGAACAGCGCAGTTTCATAAAAATCAAAAAGTCTACCCAGTATTGATTTGGGCTCATATTCAAGTGTATCTCCTTGTGCACCTGTGGACTGGTTTCATCCTGGCTTCTATTGTTTTTCATGCAGTGTATGCTGGATCTCCTTCACTGTGCGAAAATGTTGATCTTAAGAGTTCATTTTATTTTGGTGGTAAAAATTCCAGTGAGGCAAATTTGGTGAGGAGTTTTCAATGCACTCTGCACTCTGAGCGGACACATCACGGCACATAAAACCACACCACAGACCCTCTGACTGGTCTCCCTCAGACTCCCCATGTTGAATTCATGAACTCGTGATTAATAAACTGAGCAATTCTGCCTTTGAGCAGCTTCTTGGTCATCACCAAGTGCTGACTGCCTTCTTGTGAAATTTGGGTCGGTTTTAAACAAAAGATGTTTGACCTCTGCCAAAGTTTAAGGTCACAGTGTAAATACCCAAAATGAGATTTCCGTGACATGGTCTAAAAATCGCAGCTATTCGGACGTGCCTGAGGAGGTGATTATGAATGGGAGACTGGCTAGATTGATCACACCTTGTATAAAGAGACAGAATTTAAAAAAACAGAATGTGCAGAGGAGGAGAAGAGGATGACCACAGAAAATTCCTGGATGTAGTGAAGGAGGACATGCAGAGGGTGTGTGTGACAGAAGAGGATGCTGGGATATGGTGATGATAGAGGCAGATGAGCTGCTGTGGTGACTCCTAAAGGGAGCAGCTGAAAGAAGAAGAAGAAAACGATACGTAAAACTGCATAAAAGCTCAAATAATTTCTCATACAGATTCTGGTTGACTCATATTTGGTGTAGCTGTCACACAGGGTCAACACGGGGTTGTTAGTTTTTTGTTTGCCTTCCGACATCAGAGGCTGGAGAGCCAGGCTGTGATATGTCAGTATGTGACTGTTTCAGTATTAACAGAGAAAACTAACATTATTTTAAAGGGCTTTTCTGGAGCATTCAGTGATCCAGTGACTGTGAATTATGAGGGACAACATTTATATCCTGTTAAGACATCATGCTGTAGATAAACGCTGTTCTTCAACTTAGATATTAAGTATTTAATACCTAAAAGAGAAGGAATGAATTGTACATTCAGTATTTAAGGGGAAAAGATACAGATATATGTCAAATATTCTTGATGACAGAGCAGTAGATCCAAATTATATTTTACAAATTTTACATCCATAGAGAGAAACAACTCTACAGCTCCTGGACTCATTTCTTCTTCTTTCACAAAACAACACAGATGCTGACACATTTATCGGATCAGAAACTTTGTTTCGAGCAAACTTTCACTCTAGCAACATGTATGATAAAATAGTACGCTGCTAATCAAAAAGGTTTGTTCTCATAGGCTCACAGAGAGACTGGGTGTATTTGCCTGTCTGTCAAACAGTGCACAACCTGCAGTGCTGTGATCTGAAACATATATTTGGAAATCTTTCAGCAGAAGACTTTTACTATATGATGAAAACTTATGAGACTGTATATGCCTATATGTATATCTCCAACTGCATTGCTGGAGTCTGATATTTTTTGGCCACCTTTTTTGAGCAAGAAGGTAAATCTAACCAAGAGCAAGAACAGACCACACAGTTATACAACCGGAACTTACCAGCCATGCCCTCAATCATACACTGCTTCACAATTCACTCTGAACGAGACCATGATTTAAAATAAACCTCATATTATATCAAATAAATAACGGCTTGAAACTAGTAATAGAAGCTATCAATTCAGGAAAGCACTGTTCTTCACAACCAGAGCAGTTGCTACATGATGGCCATTAAGAAATATGCAGGTTTACTTAGTTTAGTGCAGCATTACTGCAATAAAAAAACTTAAAACTGGCTGTTTGTACACTGACACAGCTAAACTGACTGCACAGTAGATCTGTTCAGTTTTTGGTAAACATTAGCAAATGATCCTTCACTTTTCTAACAAGCTTCAAGCCGGATGGATGGTAGAATCACAGCCATGAAGACAAGAACAGAGAGGCACATCATCCAACTCCTGCCCCCTTTTCATAGTGTGGTCTGTGCCAGCTGGTGCTGAAGCCACCATCTTTAGTCAGTGCAGTTGGTTTGTTTCTCTCCTCTGCTCGCTGTTTCACTTTGTTTGTGTGAGGTGCTTTTAGTCCTTCAATTCACTGCATCAAAAAATAAATGAACATATATGTGCAGCATCTACACATCTTTCATTACCTCATACATGGATTATTATCTCTAAGTTTAATGTCCACAGAAAAACCATGTTCCATACATTATGTATCATATGGTCATCCCATGATTTCTCCATGCAGCCTCCAGAAAGCTGAACATGCTTAGAAAAGATGTCAAGAAAGGTTATATTTTTATTTGGTCGTCCTAAGTAAAGCACTGTCCTCACAGCTCCTTCTGATCTGTGTGAGTTTGGGTCATGGATTGCTTCTGCTCATTGAGGAATGACACTATTCAGGGTAAGAGAACATATTTGTGCCACTTAAGGTGTTTTCCGAGATACAGCTGCAGGTTGCTCACTGTGATGACTGCAGAGTTTTTATCCACAGCAGTTCTTCATTTTTTTTTTTTTTTTTTTTTTTTTTTAGAAAAGATTGAAACTGTTGCTTTGGTTTTTTGTCTGCTTGATGTGTTTCAATTATCCTGTCAGTGCAGCAGATGAGGCGTTTGGGTCTGTCAAACTGGCCAGCAGGAGGCGTCAGTCACCTCTGCAGCCAAACCTTTGTTTACTGTAGCCGCTCTGTGTGTCAAGTTCATTTACTGTGTTAATAAAATGATGCAAAACTTTGGGGTGTCGGTGTAATTCCCTCCAGAAAAGGACCAAAGCAAAATGTGCATTATTTCATTGACTTGTCTACATCCAAAACAGCTTCAGAGAGGAGAGGGGGGTCTTGGAGAAGAATAAACGCAACGTCCTCAGCACCACTTTCACACTTTACGTTACTCTGTATGAAAAAAATAACTACACTTACTCACATATTGTAGTTACAGTATATTAGCCCAGCTAAATTACAGACCATAGACTCAGTTTTAGGACTCTGAACTAGACTAAATTAGAATATGCCGCTCCGTCTGCTACAAATGAAACTCTTACACTTTCATGTCATTTAAATTGCAGTTTGCTTTGAGCCCTTGGTCCCAGATTTCTGTGCTGTTTTAGTGTTTGCATTTCTTATTCTTGAAGTTGTTGAGCTTGTGGTTCCTGTTTGCCTTTGTTGTTATTTTTTTACAAGATGTTTGGGTTGTGTGATATTATCTTATTTCTGTGGTCTCTGTGTTGATTTTGTTATGACAGTCTCCCTGTTTATGCCTCTCTTTGTCTCATCTTCATGCTCAGGCTTAGCTGTTTACTTCCTTACTTTTTACTTCCTGTTTTATTTTTTAAGGTTAGTTTTCTTTCGTGTCTTACATTAATTTTACATTCTGCCCTGATTGTCTTCACCTATGCTCATTTCTTTTCATCTTTGTCTCTTTGTTCTTCTGTCACGTCCCAATCAGCTCTCAGTGTAAATGTAGCCCTGTTTTCCCTTTTCCTTTGTGATAAGGCATCTGATAGACGGCTCATTTTTGCTTACTGCATGTGGTTTTCTCTCATTTGCTCCTTCGTATAGCTGAACTTTAGTTTATGGTTTGGATCTTTAGCATTTTGCTAAGTAGACCAAAGATCATGGCCTTTGTTTTTATTTTGACAGCATACTGTATTTGGGTCGTCTATACTGCACAGCCTTGACACATATCTTTGACACCTGCTGTCAAATCCATAAGTATTTGAGATAATAACCCTCAGCCGCTACAGTGGAGTGGCCTATAGACCTGGTCCCTGTACTACGAAGCAAGTTCACATACCCAGGATATCTAGATTCACTTAACCTAACAATCAGGCTAAGCAGTCAAGGTGGATATCATCTTAATAAGATGAGTGAGTTCACGTGACCTGGAAACTTGGAAACATGACGAGAACTCAACACACAACCTGACACTGGACAAAGGAAGACATAGGACTTAAATACACACAGGAGGTGATCAGGGGAAGTGGAAACACCTGGAGAATTAGCTGCGTAAATATAAGTAAATGAGACTTAAACATAAACAATCAGAATCAGAATCAGAATACTTTATTGATCCCTGGGGGAAATTATTTTTTGTTACAGTGCTCCATTTTAAACCAACATTAAGACAAGACAGACAATACACTAACTAAGAATAGTACAATATATACATATATATACATACATACATACATAAGTCACTCATAAATAAATAGTTGGAAAAGAAACATGTGTAGTTGTAGCAGCAAACAGTGTGTTAAGTGGATGCGTTGTACAGGGAGATGGCCACAGGCAGGAATGATTTCCTGTGTCGTTCAGTGGTGCTTTTCGGTAATCTCAGTCTCTCACTGAACGAGCTCCTGTGACTGACCAGCATGTCATGGAGTGGGTGGGAGGTGTTATCCAACATTGTCTTTATCTTGGACAGCATCCGCCTCTCCGACACCACCTTGAGGGAGTCCAGCTCCATCCCCACAACATTGCTGGCCTTACGGATTAGTTTATTAAGTCTGTTGGCATCTGCGACCCTCAGCCTGCTCCCCCAGCATGCAACAGCATAGAGGATCGCACTGGCCACAACAGACTCATAGAAAATCCTCAGCATTTTCTGGCAGATGTTGAAGGACCTCAGTCGCCTCAAAAAATAGAGACGACTCTGGCCCTTCCTGTAAAGTGCTGTGGTGTTTTTAGCCCAGTCCAGTTTATTGTCAATGTGTACTCCAAGGTATTTATAGTCCTCCACAATGTCAACACTGACCCCCTGAATTGAAACAGGGGTCAAGTGTTTCCTGGTCTTCCTGAAGTCCACGATCAGTTCCTTGGTCTTTGCCACGTTGAGCTGCAGATGATTCTGCTCACACCACGTGACAAAGGAGTCGACCACAGCCCGGTACTCTGTCTCATCATCCCTGCTGATGCATCCAACCACCGCAGAGTCATCAGAAAACTTCTGAAGATGGCAGGTCTCTGTGCAGTGGCTGAAGTCTGTGGTGTAGAGGGTGAAGAGGAAGGGGGAGAGGACAGTCCCCTGTGGTGCCCCTGTGTTGCTAATCACCTTGTCAGACACACACTGTGGGAGACGTACATATTGTGGTCTTCCTGTCAGGTAATCAACAATCCAGGACACCAGAGAAGCATCCACCTGCATCGCTGCTAACTTATCACCCAGGAGGGTCGGCCTGATGGTGTTGAAAGCACTGGAAAAGTCAAAAAACATGACCCTCACAGTGCTCGCCGGCTGGTCCAGATGGGTGTAGACACGATTGAGCAGGTAGATGATGGCGTCCTCAGTTCCGAGACGAGGCTGATAAGCGAACTGAAGGGGATCCAGGTGTGGTCTTACTATGGGTCGCAGCTGGTCCAGGATGAGCCTTTCCAGGGTCTTCATGATGTGGGAGGTCAATGCCACGGGCCTGTAATCCTGGGGGCCACTGGGACGTGGCGTCTTTGGTACAGGGACGAGGTATGATGTCTTCCACATCACCGGGACCCTCTGCAGACTCAGACTCAGCATAAACAGTTTATGAAAGACTCCACACAGCTGGGGGG